TAGAAATGTGAAATTTGAATATTTGAGGGAGAGGATACAAACAAGGATGCAATCTGGAGTTGTCTCACAAATTATATATCGAAATGCTGTTAATTTCGGTGTTAACCAGGTGAAATATGTTCCACTGAAAATCCGAGATGATGATGATGTGGAAATGATGTTTTACAACCATGAATTATCTGGGTTACATGCGATAGATTTATACATAAAATTTCAAACTTCTCAACAATCTCAAATCTCACAAGTGGCCAATCCCAATGATGCTGAGCCCGTGTCCATAATTCCCGAGGAAGTCGTTGTCGAAGATGACGAAGAAGAGGAGACTGAGTCACAAGCTGATGATTTGTTCACTACTTTATTTGAAGACGGTGGACGTGACGAGGCGGATGCAATCAACGAAACTGAACAACATATTCCACTTGAGAATGTCTATTGTCCACCCGCCCACATGACAACTCTGGATACAGCTGGAGACGAATCATCCTTTCAATGGCCCAAAAATCCTCGTCTTCCGCTGGAGGATGACATAGCTGTTGGGAACCAGTTCAAAAACAAATCTGACTGTGTCTTTGTGATATCCAGGTACCATATGAAACATGTCGTTGATTTCAGGGTTACGTGTTCTGATACAAAGAGATATAAAATTTGTTGTAAGCGAAGTGGTTGCAACTTTCGTCTAGTGGCATCCTATAGGAAAAGGAGCGACCTATGGGAGATAGGAATCATGGAGCCCCCACATAATTGTTCAACGACCATCTTTAATCAGGATCATCGACAACTAAGCTCTCGAATGATGAGTGAACGATTAATGCCTCTTGTTGAAAAGGATCCCTCCATCAAGGTGAGTGTATGTATTAACGAAATTGTTTCTTTTTTCAACTACACTCCATCTTACAAGAAGGCATGGATTGCTAGAAACAAAGCAATCGAACAAGTGTTTGGTAATTGGGAAAAGTCATACAATGAACTTCCAAATTACTTGTTGGCCCTTAAGAAGTTTGTTCCAGGCACTGTAGTAGAAATGCAAACACTACCGGTATATACAGATGACGTGACTATTATTGCTGGGAAACAAATCTTCCACCGACTATTTTGGGCTTTCCAACCATGCATACGTGGCTTTGCATATTGCAAGCCTTTACTACAGATTGATGGTACCTGGTTATATGGAAGGTACAAAGGTACATTACTAATGGCTGTAGCACAAGACGAAAACATCAATATTTTCCCAGTTGCCTTTGCCTTAGTGGAAGGTGAGACGGCGGATGGTTGGGGTTTCTTTCTAAAAAACTTGAGAATGCATGTAGCTCCTCAACCTGGCTTGTGTTTGATTTCTGACCGACATGCATCTATCGAAAGCGCTTATAACAATCCTGGAAATGGTTAGAATAACACTACATCTGTCCATGTGTATTGTATCAGGCATATTGCGCAAAATTTTATGAAGGATATCAAGGACCGTATCCTCCGGAAAAAAATAATCAACATGGGTAAGTACTTTTTATGCAAACATTACATGCTCGTTAATAGTATACCATTATATTAACCAATATTTTTTTTAACATGTAGGGTATGCGCCGAACCAACCAACATTTAAATATTATCGTAATGAAATTGGGATGGCTAATGGTGATGCTTTGAGGTGGATAGACAGAATTCCCGTTGAAAAATGGACGAGGGCATTTGACGAGGGTCGTTGTTGGGGGAACATGACAATAAACCTTGTCGAGTCACTAAATTCTGTATTTAAAGGCACTCGTAATCTCCCCATCACATCGTTAGTAAGTGCAACATACTATAGGATGGGAACACTCTTTGCTGAAAGGGGTGCAAAGTGGAGTGCAGTTTTGAATTCTGGACAAACATTTACAGAACGGTGCGTGAAGGTGATGAAAGAAGAGACGTCTAAATCCGCCACACATCAAGTAAGCATTTTTGACTATAATAATAACACTTTCAATGTGAAGGAGACAATTAACCACGGTGAGGGGAAGCCATTGGGGCGTTACAAGGTCAACCTAATGGAAGGATGGTGTGACTGCGGAAAGTTTCAAGCATACCGTGTTCCTTGTTCACATGTTATCGCTGCATGTTCTGTGGTACGCCAAGACGCATTTCTTCTGTTGTCTGACGTTTACAAGGTTGCGAACTTATTTGGGGTTTACAGCACGAGCTTTCCAGTTCTACCATACGATGAGTATTGGCCCACTTATGAGGGAGATCAAATTTGCCATAATCCAGTTATGCGGAGGAACAAGAAAGGTCGTCCCGTGAGCATCCGTATTACAACAGAAATGGACGCATATGATAAGTTGGAGAGAAAATGCACATTATGTCGTCTTCCAGGTCACAACCGAACGCGATGCCCCAATGTAGGAACTAGTAATAATTAGTTATTCATTTTGTTATCAATCTGCAAAGTTGTATGTATAATGACACCGAGTTATTATGTTTCATTTCACTAATACTTCTGCATTTAATATAAATAACAATTCGAAAAAACAACACATAAATTAAAATACTGAGACGAATAGTAGAACTTAGCAATAACATTAAACGTAAACAACATCAACATGTTCAAACAAGGACATAACCATTTCTAGGATATTACAATCAGCAACACAATGTCTTTTTGCTGAAGCATCATCATAAGAACACATGCGTCGTTGTGAACAAGTCTCCAAGAACGAGTGGGTCCATTTAAGCCAGGCACCGTAACTAACCTCTCTATTTTCCGAATCTTTTCACCTTGGGCAATTTCTTCCCCTAACCATCCCTCCAAGTGCCTATGCAGCTGCTCAAATGTCTGCGTGTTCAACAATTTGATCTTCATCGGAGGCTTTACTGGAGAAAAAATAAGTTCTGCGTCTCTTTTCATATATGGAAACATTGAAAACTCCCCGGATGTTGAAGACATTTTTAAGATACAACTAAAGAAAAATAATTTAAGTGTAGCTTGGATCATTCAACATCAACGATATTTATAGGTCACAACAAAAATTTTAAATTAATAAAATAATAAAACCCTCCGCCCATTAACGTGGCGGAGCCGTAAATAAATAATAAAATTACGAAAGCTTCCGCCCATCGCACTGGCGGAACCGTACTGAAATAATAAAATAATAAAATGAATAAAACCCTCCGTCCATTGCAGGGGCGGAGCCGCACTGCAATAATAAAATAACATGACCCTTTCTATGATTAATATTTTAACATTGATTTCTTACTTAATAATAATTTTAATTTATTTTTAAAATTACATTAAAATAAATTTTATTTGTATAGTAATATTTTAATATTTTAATAATTTCATTAAAATGACTTAAATTTGAATTTTTCAATTTCTTTTTATACAAATATATTGATTTCTTACTTAATAATAATTTTAATTTATTTTTAAAATTACAATAAAATAATTTTTATTTGTATATTAATATTTTAATATTTTAATAATTTCATTAAAATGACTTAAATTTGAATTTTTCAATTTCATTTTATACAAATATATTGATTTCTTACTTAATAATAATTTTAATTTATTTTTAAAATTACATTAAAATAAATTTTATTTGTATATTAATATTTTAATATTTTAATAATTTCATTAAAATGACTTAAATTTGAATATTTCAATTTCATTTTATACAAATATATTAATTTCTTATTTAATAATAATTTTAATTTATTTTTAAAATTATATTAAAATAAAATTTTTGTGTATATTAAAATTTTAATATTTTAATAATTTTATTAAAATGACTTAAAATTTAATATATCAAATTCATTTTATAAAAATATATTATTTTTTTATTTAACAGCAATTTTAATATATTTTTAAAATTATTTTTTAAAAAAAACGTTGATCACACAGCTCCGCCAATGCAATGGGCGGAAGCTGTGTATTTTTAAGACCATTCGCCCATCCATTGGGCGGAGCCTCCTAATTCCAATTTTTTTTTTTTGAAAAGATGGTATATTGGGAATAATGGTTGAAAGGTGTGGTATATTGGGATATAGTTGTTAAAAAGAGGGTATGTTGATAAAAAATTCAGAAATTTTCCTCTCAAAACTATAAACTAAAATTTCTATTAGAAAAAGAAGAACATTAAAATAATTAAATAAAATAAAAAAAGATAAAAGTTTTTTTATTAATTTGATAAATTTTGTCGTCTATCAATATATATATATATATATATATATATATATATATATATATATATATATATATATATATATATATATATATATATATATATATATATATATATATATATATATATATATATATATATATATATATATATATATATATATATATATATATATATATATATATATATATATATATATATATATATATATATATATATATAATAGAGATAGTAACTAAAAGTTTAATTTAGCTATTATAAATAAATAAAATATAAAATATGTGAAAAAGCCACTGATATCCTTTTGAATTCATGTTTGAATTTTTTTTATTTCAGAGTTCAAAATTACTATTTGAAATTTGTTGCAACCACGTTCAAAATTACTATTTGAAATTTGTTGCAACCACGTTGATTTGACATTTAATAAGACTGATATGTTACTCCTTCATTTTTTTTTACTCATTTTTATTTTATTTTAAACTCTAATTAAAGATTTAATATCTATTTAACTTCTTCCAAACATGGGAAACCCAATTTAAACTCAAAATTAATTACTTAGGACAATCAAGAGTTTCACAGTTTCCTATGTTTGTAATCAAATGTATTATAACTCTGTGCATATTACACATCATCTTTTCAACCCTTGCTTAACTCTCTCTCCGTCCAATCTTTCTCTTTTCATCTTCGATTGCCCTTTTTCTTTTTGGATTGCCATTTTTCTCATATTTACTTGATTTGGTTATATGATGCTTAATTGCTTGAAATTGTTGAATCTATAGCTAACGTCATGTTTTTCGTGTGATTGTTTTAGCTTTGTTGAATTTTTTTAGAAGCTTTCCCCACAAACAGATGAAAACAAGATTCAAATTGTTGGGAACATATCGAAGTCGTCGGAAACGCCCTCCACAATGCAACTCCGGTCACCTCCACCATAATGCCTCAGTCTCGAGCGCCACCACGTCAGAAACTAAAACTCGCCACCACATATTGGAATACATTGTTAAGCTTTAGATCTAACAACTCAATATGCTTAGTTTTTCGAGAAGCACTTTTGATGATTCTCCGATACTAATTTCTGCGACAGATTTGAGTTCTTATTATGTCCTTATGCTTTTCTGTTATTGCAGTTATTAAGCTACTTTGCGGTTTTATACTTGGCATAGAATAAGTTTTGTTTTCAATATTTAATGAAGAACATCAAGGTAATTGGGACTACCACATGTTTATCCTTTGTCAATTCTAAAGATGAAGTTTTAGAGACTTCGTGAGCATATTATATAGTTTGAATGAATTTTTTATATAAATTCATGCTCCTGTATCTCTTGTATTTAAGTGGTTGGACATACATACAAGAATGAGGAATATGACTCCTTTAGTGTTTGAGGAATATATGGTTCTTACTCTTTATGTTTTTTTCTTCTAAAAATGTATCTTAACTTGATTGCATGTTTAGGCTATTGCTCCATATATTTGGATTTTATGGAGAAATCAAAGAAGTGTGAATTGTTAAACTTCGATGAAGATTTTATGTGTTCAAATTCATCAATTAGTAGTGCAACATTATGATAAAAGAATAATTGGTGTTATTTTTGTACATCTATATGTTTTTGTTTCTAAGGATAAACTAAGTTGTGTTTATTATGAATCTCTGAAGGTATTAGTTTCACCTAAAGTTTCAATATTTCTCTAACTATTTTTTTTACATTTGATTGGTTTAATATAAAGAAACACTTACATTTATAGATTTTGTATTTTGGAAATTGAAACTACTATAGATTTTACTCGACGGGCTCCATCAATACGAAGAATGGCTGGTCAAAAGGGAGCAATATGTGGTTTACCGTTGCATGTCTTTTTGTCTGCATGCTTTAAATTTGGTATATTATTGCTTCAATTTGTTATGAAAAAATGTGATTAATTTTATAATTGAGGATTTAGGATGGAATAATATTGTGTGTTGTTTTGATTCATCTATTTGGTATTTGGTATTTTAGGGGACAAAGCGGTATCGACTTATGTTAAGTTGGCGAATTTTCATTTGAAGGTAATAAATATGAATTAGGTATTTGGCATATGGTTTTTGCTGGTATATTTCTTTAAAGCCTGCAATGACATTGTGTTCTCTTGCAGGAAATCAAGTTTGAAAGATGTAGAGTCATTTGAACTCGTTGGGAAACCAAACTCTACTATTGTGTTTAAACTCCCTTCTATGTTTGCTTTGAACCCATACAAGAGAGTTGGAAGAAAATGTCTCTGATTTTTGTGTCCAACAATACGAATTTGCAGTCCTGCTCTGGAAATTAATGGAGGAGAGAAAGACATGTGACGTTATAGACACTAATAAAAGTATAGATCTATTGACTAATAGTTAGAACAAGCATTGATAAGGCAAATAAAATGTTCACTTATGCACACTAAGCATACCATGAAAAGATTATTCAGTAAGTGTGTTTGACTTGGTAACTTTCTAAACCACCACTTCTTTTGATCTAATTATTTATAATTTTTAAATATTTCATAGGTTAGCGTTGGGAGTTGCTCTTACGGTTTATGAAAGAGAAGAAGAAGTTGATCATAAAAGGTATATATCTCTATCAGTTGTGTGATCAAATTTCGATTTTCATTCATTCAATTTGGATCATACATAAAGGGTTGCATTCAATGTTTTTGAATTTGTGTTGATAATTTTAAACTTATATATGACTTTATTAGTAACAATTACAGTGGAAACATTGAAGGATCAATGAAATTGCAAAATCAATAACAACATCATGAGATCAATATCACAAAATGCCAAGAATCAAATTAGATTATGGTTTTGCAACATCTACTAAAAATTTAAAATCTATTGTTAGTACATACTTATTTTCATGTCCATTGGATCTGGGTATTAGACAATTAAAATTTTTAAAACAATAACTTATTTCTTCAAGTTGCACTGTTTTTCTTCGAAGGAGCAATATTGGTCAATATGCTTGCTTATTCAATTTTGAACAAACTGGGCAAAATTTCATTTTTGAACAGAATGCCATCAATCCATGAATGCCATGAATCCCAATTTTGAACAAACTTGATAGAATGCCATGAATCCATTTTTGAACAAACTGGGCAAAATTTCTCTCCTCAATTTCCCAGATCTTAGTTATTCAATTTCCTTGATATTAGGTACGTTGTGAAAGCCTTGAGCTCAAGTTATTTAGGTCCTCACTTTTCGTAGATAATTCATGTGATATCTTCGCGCATTTGTCACTATTATTAGTTTATGTGATGTTGGATTGGTGCTTTTCCCTCACCACTTTACTCATATTAGTTGTTTATATTTGATATGATTTTTTTGTACATTTTTAATGTTGATTCTTTTCATTGGGAGAGAGGGAAGTATTAATGGAAGAGTTACAGAGTTTAAGAAGCCAACTTTAATTTTATATTGATTTGTCATCCACTGCAAGGAAGAAGTATCCATTACTGCAACTGACATGTTCATCTGAACACAGTTTTGCTCCAACAACTCTCACTGCCATTCCAGAGTCAATATTGGAAAGGGATGAGACAGATGAAACTCTAACATCGATTAGAGACAATTTTGAAGTAAAACTTGAACAAGAAACAATTAAATGGACTGAGGCAGAAAGCAGGTGGGTTTCTCTTTTTGAATAACTGAGAGTCGACCTTGAAGCTAACATGTTGTTAGCAGAAAAGACGAAACATGAATTAGATGCTGAGAGGGAGTGTAATAAGGAACTTCAGGAAGCCATGCATATGACTATAGAAGGATATCCACGACTTTTAGAACAATATGCATAAAGTGGTATAACGCCCATGTCTATGATTAAAATACTTTTTGTCCAATTTTGAAAAGAAAGTGGTATAATGCCCTGTCTATGATTAAAATTCCATAAACACACTTTTTAATAATATTCTAACATGAATAACTTTACAATTTTTTATTTACAATAACGAGTGCTAGTTGTATTGCATTATTGCATCTCTTTAATAACTATAAAATTAATATATTAAGGTAATAGACATAAGATATCATTCTATTTTAGATCTTAAAAGTTTTAAAAAAATATATCATATACATTAATTTTATTATATAATTATTAAATAAATAAAATAAATTTAATTAAGATGTTTTAAAATAAAACGGTGAAATATATAGTCTGAACTTATGTAAAATAATAAAAGAAATATTGTTTAATAATTATAAAAAATAAAATTATATTAAGTCAACTTAAATGTTTTTATTCAATTAAAAAAAATTATTGTAGTCTTTTTATAATAATATATCTTTCTTTCCTCTCATTTTCTTTTCACTTTATTAGTAACAAACAACTAAAAAATCATTCCACTTTCCTTTAACTTTCTCATCACTTTCATTCTTTCAATATTCTTTCCTCTTACTTTCTTTCCTTTCACTTTCTTTTCTCATCCAAACAAAGCATTAGTGATCATTTTCGTTGAATTTTAAGTATAATATTTAATTACAGAATTAAATATATTTTAGATCTTATAAATATTTACATAAATTCACGGGTAGATGTATCTATGAAATATCATCGGTAGAATGTTAATTTTAACATCTATCTTTTAAATATTTCTTTTGCGAATGTTTTATATAATTAAAGTTAGAGAATCAATTCTACGATTCATTATAAGTACAAATCAAGATTTAAAAGTTTGTGCATATTATTAGACTATACTTATAATTATGTGAATGTTAACCGATTAAAGAATGAAACCAAACTTTACAAATGATAGTTTGGTAGACATGTAGTGTGAATTCAGACTATCTTACTAGTAACTAAGTAATACACACCACAATAATATTTTAAGGTCCCAGGAACATTCTAAATAGCATTACAAATTAAATAACAATAATATAAATTCTTCTTCTAATTAATCATAATCCTTTACTCTATCATTGTCTTGTCCTCAAGGTTCTAAAATGAAGATGAAACACTCGTTCTAAAAAGAAGGTGAAACACTCATTCTTTCAACAAAATCCGTGACTGCTTGAGGCTTTCCATCAAGTAATAATTATAAGGTATGATAATACACTTTAATATACAAAGGCACAATTTGGAGAACATAAACTTGTAACTTACACTTCTCTTCAACATTATTGGCTACATTGAAACCCTTAGTCAATTCTGTAGACTTGAAGGATATTGCAATCGAGCCCCTTTCATTTCCACTTCCAATTAAAATTCTACCCGCGTATAAAGGTGCAAGTGGGCAGGACCAAACAACTCGATATTTCCATGTTAGGCCTAAATCAAATTGTTCAGTATCGTTGTACTCTTTGATTGAATATTCATACATAATTGAGGAGCTCTTTTCCAATTCTCTATGAACCCTATCCAATGTAATAGATATTTGAAAGCCAAGATTCCTTCTCAAAACATCTGTACCCATTCCATTATCAGCATATGCATTAGTATTCTTTTGGAGCTTCTCAAGTTGAGCCACTAGATCTCTTTCAACATGAAAGTAGACATTACTCGACTTAGGAAGAACGCACCTTCCATTCACTTTTCGTCCAAATATCGAGCTCAAGGACCAACTTGGTTGAATCTTAAATTCATCTGGAAAGCTCGAACTAGTTTTTAGAATATCAGGCTGTAGTACAACCGTAAGTGTTTGTTCCAGAATAATTCCTGAATCTAACTCATCAGCAGGAGCTGTGGATACTGTCAAGTGCAATCGCTGCGAATGATAAAAACTCCTGTAAATAGATGGTCTATCAAATAAGGCCGAAAATCTAACTTTATCTCGACAAGGAAGGAGTTCCAACTAGGGAATAAGATTCTTCATGTAGACAGCTTCACACAGCAGTGTGCCATATCTTAAATTACCTAAGGTTGACTGAGATGCCCATTTAGGAGCAGAGTAAGCGTTAGATGACTCTATAAAGGTTATCGAAGCACATAAGATACCTGATAGAGAATGCGTCAAATTTTTCCAAGAAGCATCAACCTGATGTTGAGGGACATCAAAAGCTGCCCACAACTCAACTCCAGGAGGCTTTGCATTTTGGCTAGATATTGGATCAAGTCCACCTCGTCTTTCATAGTTCTATCGCCCTTGTGTGAAAGATAACTCCATTTCTTTAATATGAAATTTCTTATTCTTAGAAAGAAGCGGTGGGGGCATGATGAAATTGTTCAGAACAAAAACATGATCTTTCATAACAACATTTGCATCAGTCAAACGACCTCTATCCTGCTGATGAACTTGTTTGTATTTAGCGGTTGGCTGGATTTCTCTTCCAACTACAACATCTTTAGCATCCAGTTTAGGCTCGAAGTTAGGGACCAGTTCAGGTTCAAGCTCCTTAGTAAGTAACTGTCCAGCTCTAGGGTGGTGTGACCCCAGTCTTTGAGCAGATATAAGAACTGCCTGTATATCTTGAACTTTATTTGTTGTATCAGCATTTGAATCAACACTGAAAAGAACCTTATGAATATTGGATACAATGACATTAAAAGGATCACCAGGGTTGTCTGCTAGGAGTGGATCCAATCCTTCTATATCTATGTGTTCTGCAATAGCCCATATAAGGCAGGCCAATTCTTGGTGTATTGACCTGTGAAACAAGATTACGCAACTGCCACACTGCTTGAGAAGAACCATCCATATAATATAATGCACTGGACAATCCGACTCGTACATCCCCCAATTTAATTAGATCTCTTCTTCGATTGTTCACTCTCTAAATCCTTTGACCAACTAGGCGATTTCACTTCCCTCAAAAAACCCCTTGGGTGAACGCACTACCCTCTCTTCAACTCTACTACCATTTGTCGAATCTTTAGTTGAAGAAGATGTTGCCATCGATGATATCAGAGGTCTTTGAGACCCTTGTGATATAAGGTATTTGGTGGGTTTTGATTTGGGGAGAGAATATGGTTTGGGTTTGGTGTTGAGAGAGAATGGTGAATCTGAAAGTTTAAAAGTGGGGGAAAGCTTCACAACTCTTAGGTCACCATCAATTGCAGGAACTTGTTTGACAACAAAATCTTCATGAAAATCAGTTTCATCGACAGATTTCATTGGTTCCAGACCTTCGCGAGCAATGGGTCGGGTTACGATTTTTTTAGACAGGTTAAAAGTGGGTCTACGAGCAAGATGATAAAGGGTTTAGGTTTTTTTTTGTTGGCTTGCTTAAAATAGGGATGATAAAGGGTTTGAAGTGGGTCTATGGATCTAATGACTATTTGAGAATTTTGTTTAGATCTTTTCTTAAAAGGGAGATGAGACACTTACAAATACTTCTCAAAATCTCTTCTAATTGTGGAGGAGGTTTTTGTTAGTTGTAGTTGTTGATGATAATTACTATAGTAGTATGAATAATGAGATGATGAATAGGATGAATAAATGTTAGGTGGAGGTGGTGTATACCCATGATTAAAATATAAATATGGACTTGTAACATGAGAAATTATGGAATAAGATGAGAAAATTTCTCATGGAAAAGATGGAAATGAGAAAGTGATTGAAAATGTAAAAAAAGGGGTTTGTGGGATAGGTAGGAGGAATGCTCCCGGGATGATATGAAGGTGTATGATAAGGATAATCTATAGGAGGATTTGAGTACATGGATGAAAGCACCCATTGATATGAAGTTTTCATATCAAAACTATAAACTAGGGTTTCTACTAGAAAAGGGGAAGAACACTAAAATGACTAAATAAAATAAAGAAAGATACAAGATTTTTCCATTTGATTTGATAAATTTTGCCATCTCTTAATGAGTACATATACTAGTAGCAGTGAATAGTAACTAAAGGCACAATAACTAATTAAAGTCCATTTCAATAATATCCTAAGAACATTCTAAAAAGCATTTACAAATTAAATAACAATAATATAAAATCTACTATTAATTAACCATAACCTTTACTCTATTCGAATTTGTAGAGATCACTCTTGATAAATGAATAAGTTGATTTCAAATGTATATTGTTTTAAGTTATATACATTCAGATATGGATTTAATTATTTTCATACGATTTAGGGCTCGTTTATTTTAGATTTTTCTAAAAATAATTTTTATACTGTAATATAATTTTGTGTAAAATTTTTTTATAAAGAAATTTTTAATAAAAGCTTCAAATGAAAATTTGGTTTGAATAATTAATCTTAAAATGTTATTTTAGATATTTCATCATATTAGTAAAACTTTTTTTGGATATCAAAATTTCAAACAATCATTTAATTTTGAAGCTATTTCAAATAAATTTGGCTAAATTACAATTTTGATCATCTTATTTTAGTCAATTCACGAAATTAGTTCCTCTATTTTATTTTTAAACAGTTTTAGTCTCATTCTGATTTTTGGTCCAAAAAGTGATGATGTGTGATTTTTTAATGATATAAAAATTGATTTAATGAGGTAGAGTAATCTATGTGGATTAATAGACTTACATGACATTATTTAATAATGTTAATTGTTTAAAATAATAAATCATCAAAAATTCAAAATATTTACATTAAAAAACATAAATATATAATGTTAGACTAAAAAAACATATATTTTTAAATATAATGAATTGGAAAGAGAAAAAAAATATTAAATTATACATAAAAAATTATAAACGAATTGAAAAAGGGAAAAAAATCTCGATTAAAATCATAAGTATCCAACCTTCTTCTCTCTCAATCTACTCCACCCTTTTTGAACTCAAATTCACAAAAGAAAATTAGATTTATGGGTGCACAATGAAACACTAAACCCATATTTATGAATGTAATCTAAACTTTTCAATTTTATTACTTTCTTCTTGCTCTATTTCTTCCTCAATCATTCTCCAACAGATGAAATCACAAGGTTATTAAATCTCTTACGACCTCAATCTTTATGAGAATTCATATGTTGTCTCTTATTCAAATATGCATATTAAGAAGAATCATGGTTGTTACTTTTACCATCTCCACAAAAATAAGATCTACACCACTTAACCTTTGTTAATCTGTCAAATTTTCACAAATTTGTTATTTTTCTTCATCTTCTTTTCTTATGTGTCATATGATTCTTGTAAATAAATATGGGTTGGTTATTACCAAAAAAAAAACATTAAGGTTCAAAATTAGGTTTGTGTTGATTTGGATTGTTCTTCATTTGGAGAGAAAGTATGTTCATCGGGGTTTATTTTCCATAACTTGAGAAATGATATGTTAAGATAAAAATATGGAAAAAGATAATTTAATTAGATAATATATATAAGCTGGGGGAGACGTTTAATTGAAAATTATTTCTGATTTTGTTCTTAATTTAGAAGAAAATACGTTTTGATAAAAATATGAAAAAGGATAATTTGACTAGGAATGTGCAAGAAAATACTAGAATCCTTGTTGGTTTTTTATTTTAATGTTTTAATTTAATTGGAAGTTTTGAAATGAATAAGTAAAAAATTTCATTTCCACAAAAATCTTATTGTAGGAGCAAATTTGGCCGACACGTGAAAGTCAAACAAAAAGAAATAAGTAATAAAACACAACAATATTTTGTATTTAATTTATTTTTGTATGATTTTTTTATTAATTTACTTACTAAATTTGTATTGGTTTTTACTATTGGAAAAAAAAAACTAATATGTAAATATTTTTAATTATTAATTATTTATATATACTTTAAAATTACATCATCAAATAATGACATGTGATTCTATTAATCCTAGTAGATTGTTCCACAACATCAAAATATTTTTCATATCATTAAAAAAATCACATATCATCACTTTTTGGACCAAACACTAAAAAGAGGACTAAAATTGTTTAAAATTAAAAGAAAAGGATTGATTTAATGATCATAACAAAACAATTTTTAAATCCTTAAATATTTTCCAAAATCTCTAGTGAAATGTTAAAATACCGGAAACATATCTATTATTGTATCAAATCTTATAACAAAATAATTTTTATAATAATTATGCATATTTAATTATTATACAAATGATTATAAAAAATAATTATAGAGAATAATTATTATAAAAATAGTTATAAAAATAATTATAAAAATAATAATTATAGAAAATAATTATATAAATAATTATTATAAAAAATAATTATGTATAAAATATTTATAGAAAATAATTATGTATATAGAAATAATTATTATAGAAATAATTATAGAAAATAATTATTATAGAAAATAATTATTATAGAAAATATTTTTTATAGAAAATAATTATAAAAAATAATTATCATAGAATATAATTATAGAAATATTAATTATAGAAAATAATTATGCATATAATTATTATAGAAAATAATTCTTGACTAATATATAATTTATATACAATTTTATAATTTTATATATTTTCTTGACTAATTTACATATAATTTAATATTTTATATTTCTTGACTAATACACTATATAAAAGTATATTTATGTACACATAATTATTATTGGACATTTGTATAGAGAATAATAATTATTTTTGGACATATATAAATATTTATTTATTGAGAATTTTTATTTATTTATATAATTTATTGGACATTTATATATATTTCTTGGACATATCATTTAATTAATGGAATTGAAATCATTTTTTGTTGAAAAATTAATGGTAATGGAAATAAATAGTATCTTCGGAGATACATCTTCGAATTAATTTAAAAAAAATTGAAAATATATCTCCGAATTAAATTTTTACCCAAAATGAGATTTGGTGCGTCCGGAGATGTATTTTTGAATTCATCCAAGGATAATTTAGAATTTTCAAAGGTGTGCTCCATAGTACAAAGGTGCAATGAAAAGTTGCCAAAAAAACACCTAAAATAATTAACATAGTCCATGATACAACAACACCCAAAACAAAACAAAACAAAACAAAACAAAAGTGATATGACTAGAATAAACTATAACCCAATATCGCCACAACACCGAAACTCAACTTGATTGGATGTGGGTAAATGAGCAAACACCGATAGCACCACACAACGGAAAATGTAACACAACTCATAACAATAACAATACATCTAACGTCGCGATAGGATTAAGACGCATAAGCAGGTCTGTTATACGATCTGAATCTCATGTACAAAAATTCTGAATTGACAATTCTTACCGGTTGGACCCTCCTAGAAAAAATGTTTGCGAATAAACCAGACTCAGCAACTCACACATGTCCACTGCATTGCAAAACTACCCAACCAGAAAATAACACCTTAACAGAAATAAACGCCATAGGAACCTGAAAGCAAACCCGAAGCACTCTTGCAAACTCAAAAAAAAAAACTCTAATATATGATAGTTGTTATGACGGATACCTCGTGTACTCTTTATAAAATCCCCTTCTAATGTGCAGCTTCATAGATCTCACCTCTGCTATTAACACTGACTCAAAAGAAATAGAGTCATTTGAACTAAAGTATTAGAAGGACTCCTTTTGATTCAATAAACATTGGCTTAGTGAATAGTTAAATCCTTTCAACTTGGATTTTAACCATCTCTAACTCAACGCTTATTGTTAGAATTTTATTTTTGTATCATACATATAATAAATTAATGTGTTAGTACCATTATTTAATTAGTCAAATTAATGTGTTATTATTTAATTTGTCAAATTAAAGTGATATATTTAATGTAAGATTTATGAATAAGGATAATTGTCATGAAACATATTGTGTAAATACCAAAAGTCTTATTTCTATTTTTTTATGGATAAAATTGAAATAAAAAAACTTGAATAATCATGACCCTTCATTAAAGGGCATGAGATTCAAAATTTGAATAAACATGATTCTTCATGAAATGACATGAGATTTTAAACTTGAATAAACATGACTCCTCATTGAAGGTGCAAGAAACACAAGAGGGGGGGGGGGGGGGGGGGGGGGGGTTGAATTGAGTTGCACCAAATATAATATTTTTGCAACTCAAAACACAAAGATAACAAGTGAATAAAAATAGATGAACACAATTATTTTTATCCTAGTTCTCTGTTAACTAAGTTACTCTAATCCACTCCACAAGGTGATTTGCCTTATACACAGGGACTTAATCCACTATAATAAACCAAATTAAAGACAACCATAATAAGTTC